TGGCGGAAATCCCAGACATTCTGATCGCGACGGGACACCATTCGGAAGTCGAATTGTGTGTCGTGTCCAGACTATTCCGCGCGATCTCCCGCTCTGAAATGACGTTCCCGTCCTCTTGCTAAATCTCTTTAATCTTTGGCTTAAATTTTCAAAGGAAAATAGAGGGCAAGAGTACCATATAACCCCATGCATTAATTATGCATTCAGACTAGTAGACTTTGTTTTTAAAGTTTTGTCGTGAAAGACAAAGAAGTGGAATGCATAATTAATGTGTGTGGTATGGTGCTCTTTCCAAATAGAGGAAAATAGAGCTATAGAAATAGCAGTTTGGTTCCCTGCCTACTCCTTGTATGTTAGCTGGCAACTTGAATCTTTGTAACAGCCCTACGAATAAGTTGATGATTTTCTTTAGACTTTCAAACGTCACCGAAAAGTGTTCAAAGCCGTTCCGTCGACCTTTGAGCACTTCTTCAGCTATTCCAAAGGCAACAATTGTAGGGGCCAACCAGTTCACTTTTTTTTTTTGGGGGGGGGGGGAGCTTGGGTGGAGGGTAAGGGTGATTTTGAAAAAAATGCATCCTATTATATGTTTTCTCAATTTGCCATAGGACTTTGTCATATGATTACTTGTTACTGTTATTATTTAAATGATGGAGTCACATTGACCACTATTTGAGCCTTCTATTATGCATAACTTTACTAGTTCCTGATGCCTTGCGGAATATATTTGGTGGAGACCATCAAGAGTCGGTGGTTAGTTACAGCAGAACAGTTGACCAAGCAAGAGCCAATGTGAGCCACCTCATGAGGAGTTATTGCCAGAATGGACCAATGTCTCGGAGGCAACAAGCATCTCAGAGACGAACATCTAGACTTCCTATTAGCCGGCCCAGAGCTATGACATCATTAACATATTTTCATTTACACGTACAAACATGTTACTTTTATTTTTATTTTGTCACTATAAACCATATACATGTAAATAACGTCGGATTTAGGTTTACCTTTGTCACTTCATATTGATGTCATGGTGCA